TTTTTTTTTGCTTTTTTTATTTCTTCCATTTGAATGCATAAATTTTTGTATTTAGTTTTTTAATCAAAACATATATATATATAATATGAAATATTATATTTTTTTGATATTACTTTTATGTATATGACATTAATCATAAAACGTTTCTAATAGTATTTTAGTAGTATAAAAAAAGCAATATAATGTAACAGTTATAATGTTTATCACACTTTTAAACTTATAATTGAAGAAAAAAAAATACAGTAAATTTCGGTTATTTACCAAACATCTATTTGAGTAAATCATCAATTTTTCTTCTCAATTAAAATGATATAAAAATTTGGCTATTTATCAAGCATGCGTTCGAGTAGACCGTCGATTTCACTCCTCAAATCAACTATACAATCAATTATTATAATTGTTTTTACTATAACAACCTATCAGCTATCTGGCAAATAATAGCATGATAATTTCAAAGTAGGTATATATTTATGAAAAATGTATGATGACTTAGTCGTTAATCCAGTCTTAATTATATTTAAAAAATATATATATATTTAAATTTGGTTATCCCTTTAATTAGGGACATTGGTCTCCGGCAGAATTGGTTTGTGATTTGTACTTTTTAATCTATATTAATAAAAAATTTTAGTCTCTATTGCTTTTGTGATTACAGATTTACACTTTATTTTATATTTTCTAATTTTGATTTTTGTGAAATGATTAGAAAAAAAAAAGGTGGTTATGGCGTGGTGACAACGTGTTCGCGCCTTTTTTTATGATTTATTATTATTGTATATATATATATGTGTGATGGGGAAGAAAAAAGACGAAACAATTTCCTTTATATGTGGGATTTGTGCTTAGCATATAACAAGTAAAATCTGCATGTTATGTTGGACTTGACCATTGTCCGTGAACTTAGTCAGATCCAAAATAAATAATAAATAAATAAAATTATAAAAAAAAAAAATATAAATAAATAAAAAAAAAAAACTTATTAGTGAGATCCATGACTTAATATAGGAAGTCACTGTTATGCAATAATAAAAATATTCAAATGGGACAATTTTTGGGTAATTAACAATTATGTATATTTTGGATCGGTTCAAATTGTATTTACGTACCTGCACGTTCTTTTTCCCATTTTTAAGTTTGCCTAGACTGCCCTTGGAGTGGTTATACTTTTGGCTCATTATTAGTGATCAACGAGTTGAACTCAACTCGATTTCATGCTCGTTAATGGTTCGAGCTCAAGCACCCGAGACTCGAGCTTGGCTCGGCTCGACTCGACTTGTTTACAGGCCTATATGGGATGTTTCGATTTACATGCTTGATCGATTTGAAGGTGAAGTTCAAATCGCAATATCATAAAAATAGTGTTTGGATATAAAATAATATAATTTATAACAATAGTAATATTTATCACAATTTGATAATTATTGATGACACCTTCTTTTTCCCATTTTTCAGTTTGCCCTAAGGGCAGTATAGCTTATACTCCCGTTGAAGAAGTTATACTTCATAGCAAGTTTGACCCGTTTAGCCCAAAAACCCTTTAGTTATATGGGATTAGTGACGTTAAATTAAACAAACATGACTCGGCCTACTGATGTTTGTCACGATAAGGCTCGAAAAAAAAAAAGTTTTATATAATTTTCTATAACATGACTTGTTAAAGTTCGAGATTGACTCGTTGTTAGTGATAAACGAGGTGAACTCGGCTTGATTTCAGGCTCGTTAATGGTTCGAGCTCAAGCACCCTAAACTCGAGCTCGAGCCGACTCGACCCGACTCGACTTGTTTACAGGCCTATATTGGATGTGCCGATTCGCAAGCTTGATTGTTTTTAAGGTGAAATTCAAATCACAATATCATAAAATAGTGTTTGATATAAAATAATAAATATAATTGTAACAATAGTAATATTTATCACAATTTGATAATTATTGATGACACCTTCTCATTTAGAGGCTCATTTAATCTAGCTCACACATTTTATTGAAACGAGATATAATTTGTTTTAACTTTTAAATTGTGCTGTTTTTTTTTTTTTTTTCCTAACCAAAGTTATATTTTTTAATAGATTACAAACTTAATTTTTCTTCCAAACTTGCAATAAACTTCATTGTTAATCAAAGTTCACTAAATTCAAATTGGGTATTTTTGGCGCCTTCAAGCATCAACGTTCAAAAGACAGTCCTGTGAGAAAGACAGGTGACCATAGGTGAGACACTCTCACACTTCATTACACCAAAAAAAATAATAAACTACCACTTTTGCCCCTTTTCTTTATGTCGACACAAATATCATTTTTTATTTTTTATTTTTCATTTATTTAACAAATAATAATAATTTGAGTGACAGTGAAAATAAAGCTCTTAAGCGAAAATAGTCACTCGTGAAGTCAGCTCGACTCAACTCGTTAAAGCAGTGCTCAATTCGACTTGTTGAGGCTAGCTCATTAATTTTCAAACTCGGCTTGTCAAGACTCGCTAAAACTCAAATATAAGATATTGTTTAGGTAATTTTTCACAGCTCAATTTATTAATATTGATAAACGAATTTGTAAGAAACTGGGGGAAAAGGAAAGCCCATATGAAGCCCAAATGAGGTTCCATCCCAAAACCAATTGGTGGAAGGAGGAGTAGCCCATTAGACTTATAAGGTGGGTCTATTTTCTATGTGTGAACGATGTGGGACAACTCACAAGTGATATTCTAACAGAATTGAACTCAAATTCGTTTATCGACTCAGTTAGTTAACAAGCAAGTTCGACAAAATTCGAGTTCGAGCTCGTTCATCAATGCTAATCAAAATATCTAAAATATGTTTGTTATTTAGGCTTTGACATGGGGCTCCATGCACGACCCTAATTTTCAAGAATCAGTCGGCTAAAGGCAACGCGTTATAATTCAAACAGTACTGATGCGACATCTCCACCAAATTAGAGGTATAATGTTTGAACTTAATTAGTAATTTGTGACAAAATAAAACTCAATAAAGGGTTAAATAATCCATTCGTGATACTGATTAAACGCGCAATTAGCAGACAAATTGTGTTTTAAATTAAAATCAAAAGATACAACATTTTGAAATTATGTTGGAGATATTCTATTCAAGTGGAATCCAGGCATGTTTGGCTTTTTTCCATTTTTCAATATTCATTTAATTTATTTTATTTTATTTTATTTTTTTTTTATCTTTATATATATATATATTTTTTTTGTGCGTTTTTGCGTCGCTTTCCCTGTTTTCTTCCTTATCCACTCACTTTGCATGCTTTTGTGTGACCAAATGAAATTTATTCCACAATAATACCTGTCTACCATTTTAAAAGCTTTTTGAAAAAAGTGGGAAAAAAAATAAAATAAAATAAAAATTAAGGTATGGAAATTGAAAAAACTAGTCCCATCAGTCTTACCACCCCCAACACACACATACAACTTGCACGCTTAAAATTTTAAATATTTTTTTCACTAAAATTCCTTCCAACTTTTTTTTTGCATGTTAGTTAAGTTTGATTCGAGGGTGATTTGTTATAAATATCTTAATTGTGTTATTTCAAAGTTATACTATTTATAATATGCTACGGTCCTGTTACGGTACCATCTCGTCGGGTGTTTTAACCGTTGAATCCACTTGTAGTTGGATAAGATTAGCACTGTCAAAACATGGCCCGCGGGCTGGCCCGCCCGCCCGCCTAAATGGACGGGCTTGGGCCTTTGCTTGGCCAGCCCGTTCGATCGCGGGTCTATTTGGCCCGCTCCGTTTGGCCCGCGGGCTGGACCGCGGGCTAGCTCGTTTTTTTTTTTAATGACAAGTATTGTATATTTGTATTCTTTTTTTTTTTTGTCTTGAATTTAATAGTATAATATAAATATGAAATAAAATGTAATTTTTTTTATGACAAATATTGTATTCTTTTTTTTCTTGAATTTAATTGTATAATATAAATATGAAATAAAAATGTAAATACATGAAGAATTTTAGCAATGTAGAAATTTGATGGAGCTGACAAAACATTGGTCGTCCACTTTTAAATGTCTAAATCTAATCACTTTCTTTAATATAGCATAATAGCAACAACAATTATTGAAAATAGCCAATTATTAAAGGATGAAAGTTTTTAATTTCATTTTGCATTTTACCACAATTCATTCACAATATATGATCACCATCGAGATCAAAATGTCGTACAAGTAATTCTTATTCAATTTCCACTGTTTTTTTTTTCTTTTATAGTTTGAATTTAAAAACCAACATTGCATTATAAATTGCAAAAAAAATAATAACAATAAAAAAAAGTAAGTAAAAAAAAAAAACGCGGGCGGGCCAATTTAGCCCGCGGGCTAATGCGGGCGGGCTACGAGCCATGGATTTCTCAGTCTGTAGAAATGCGGGCCATTTTGGCCCGCCCCGTTTGAACCGTGGGCCAGCGCGGGCCGGGCCGGACCG